TGGTGATTTTTCTATTGGATATTTACAAATCACCGTATAGATGCGTTCCAGTTATTAAGGATCGCAGTTCGCAGCAGCATGAGCAGCGGTGCGGTAGTTTCACCTCCAAGCAGAACTAAACCGCACATGAAAGTAGAATATCTCAGCGAACTTTCAGTCTTGCACGTTATCCGATAAACGAAATAGCCACTTCGCTACAAATATCTTTGAAGTTCCTTAAGTCGTAGCGCAAGCGCAATTCAATACTCATTTTAGGTACACGATTTCCCATATGGGCAACAAACTTGCTGACTAAATCTCAGCCATTGTTTTCCGGCAATTTTTCGAGTTAGCACAGTACCAAGTTGCAAACTTTGACGTAATCGTACGCGCTGTACAAGCGTACGCGACAACTGAATTTGAAACCTTTAGCTCGCACATGCACAGAAAATATTTGTGCAAACTTTCAACTCCGTACCTTGCCTAGTTCGCAAAATCGTCCCCCACCAAAGAAATCTGCATATTTTTTGGGCGGGCCCGTATGCGGGGTCTAGGCGCGTGTGGGGGAGAGATCCTTACCGGATAACCTGCGAGGCTGAAAATTCGCTGGGATATTCTATTCCCAAGTGCGGCCTGAATTCTGCTTGGAGGTGAAATCCCCTGCAGGTGGGCGTGAGAAATACCGAACTTTACCGGAAAATCAGAAACAAGTGCGTTTTGTAGCGAAAGACCGTCTTCATCCATCACTTGCACACATGAATTTTTTGACAGATGACCGTCCTAGCAACAATTCCACTCTTTAGAGAACTGGAAATTTGTTTTTTTTCAAAAAACTTGCATCCTTCATTTTTTCAAAAAGCGAGCACTTACCGAAATAATTGGCCAACGCACGGGCTCCCCGTGCGAAGATGCGTTTTTTGCATGGTTCCCCGCAGTTTTTGTTGCTACCGGCACCGGATTTTTCGGCAAATGCTTCTAGCTAACCAAATTAAGACTGGCCATCAGAACTGCCAGAAAACATTCCCTTTAAAATTTCAACTTTCTAGCTTCCCTGGCACCTGAGTTAGC